TGTTGAAAGAGCTGACGAACTGATGATCCCCTAAACCCTTAACCCTAAAGTTCCTAGTGCATACTATCGTATGCTAGTCTGTCCCCTTCACAACTACCAGGCCAAGGCTTCGACTAAGCACAGGGCTCAGGGCACAGGGCTTGTTTCGGCCTGGGGCCTGCCCGGGAGTCAAACATGATCATGCAAAATCGTAGAATACTTTATAATGGCGTAGTACTATAGAGGTACGAAATTCCAACATACCGAAATGTTACGATAATATAGTACAAAAGTATAATGGTAGAATATTGTTATAGTACAAGGAAGGTTTCCATGTGATTTCGGCAACCCTGGCATGCTGTGGAAGAGTTGAACCGCCAGCTGCCACTGGCTCGCCGCAGAATAGGCGGTGCACAGGGTGCTATAGCAATACCTGGGCGGCAAGACTCAAACCATATTCATTGTTCCGTGTTTCACTTTTCTGATCTTCGGACACAACCTGCAGCTAGAGTACACATCCGGCATGACGTCGGCATCGCGCATGGTGCCGAAAAGATGTCGGGTGAGCTGCCACTGCCTCTGGAAACCAGGGGAAGATTTTTGATACTAGGGCCGCTGGCATGCAGGCCTAAACGTTGCAGGCTGGTTCAGAGTCTTCAGGCTTCGACATCAATGTCTTCAGGCTTCGACACTCTCAACCGGGACGGCAAATGCAGAGCAGGAGGCTTTGTATCAATGCAATCTCTTCGGAGCCTTGCAGGAATCTGTGACGAACTGGCCCTCTTTATGTCAGAAAGATGAGCAGTTCCCAATGTGATCGTCTCTGTAATCCAAACTAAAACCCTACCGCGTCGAAGACGTCTATGCATTAGTTTGGGGAATGCCAGTTCGAGTGCCACGGAATTAAGTGCAGCTTTGTCGCCCACCCTGAGCCCCGGCGCTCATTGCAGCGTTGTAGCTGAAGCGGTCAGGCGAAATCCTGACCGGCGTGGGCATCGGACTTCGGGGCCCCCAGACAAAGGAAGAGACGTCGAAGCGGCCTGGCTTCCAGCATGGATCGAAAGAGATCCAGGGCATCTTCCCAAAGCTGAGCAGCCTGGCCAGGACGCAGCTGTTTGTTTCGCCAACTGACAAATCCAGCGTAAGGAAGAGGAGCACCGTCTGTCGGTAACCCTGTGTACATACAACAATACCTGCCTGTCTCCCGCCCATGCCTGCCGTACATACGTGCACACACGCAGAGACATTTATGTAGTATGCACACCTACCGACCTAGCTGCCGACCTACCTGCTATCGACCTACCTACATAACTACATTCGTACATACACAGATACATACATACA